TGTTAAGACGACCGAGTCTACAGATTCTGAGCCGATATGGAGAAACGTCCTCCATCTTGACGATGCGTCATGGTTAGCCGATCATAAGGTGGGACAGAACGTCGTATTTCCCTTTGCTGGGTACTCTGCTATGGCCGGTGAAGCAATCCGCCAGGTAGCCGGAGCCGATGCTGGGTCGGGCTACCACCTTCGCCACGTGGTCGCCCACACGGGTCTTGTCCTGACCGATTCGAAGCCAGTAGAGATTATTACCTCGCTACGTCGGAAGCGTCTAACCGATTCTGACGAGTCCCGGTGGTACGAATTCAACATTTCATCTTATAGCGGTTCCGCGTGGATCAAACATTCTACAGGAGAAGTCAGACACATCGAAGGGCCTAGCGAAGGGGCTTCCTGGACCCTAGAGGAGCTGCCTCGTAGATTACCGAGCTCATCATTCTACGAAGCTATGAAGCGTATCGGGATCAGCTACGGTCCTGAGTTCCAAGTCCTTGAGGATATCTCTACTTCTGCCATTGAGCATACCGCTCAGGCCAAGATAGTTGATAAGCATAACCACGTGTCCGCGCCATTCTCTCTCCATCCGGTAGTAATCGATGGGTGCTTACAATCGCTCCTGATTGCCATGAGAAAGGGACTTTGTCGCAACTTCGACGGCCTATTTGTACCTGTTTCTATCGATGAGCTTGTCGTATACCGGGGGGCATCAGAGATCCACGTCCGTGCTTGGACGGAGAAAGGAGATCTTAAGCTTGGCCAGGCCGAGTGTGTCGCAGACGGGAGGTTAGCGCTGCGGATGCGCGGTATCAAATTGGCACCTCTTGAGGATGACAACCCGGCTACTAATTCCATCGACCAACACGCCGCAGCTCGCATATACTGGCTTCCAGACTTTGACTTCGCAGATCACAAGGCATTATTCTCAGCACCCAAGTCCGACCGGGACCAGCTTGTACTACAGCAGGAGCTCTCGTTTCTTTGTATGATCCAGGAGGTAAAGACCGTGGAAGGTCTCGAGCCGTGCCAACCTCACTTCGCTAAGTTACGCGATTGGATGAAGAAAGGGATCGAAAATGCAGCCACTGGGAAGGAAGAATTTCCTCTAGTCAAGAATGCGGCATACCTATTAAAGCTAAGCCTCGAAGAGCAGCAGAATGTGATCAAATCCCACCTTAGCATCCTAGAGAAAGGGGATCACCGCGCCCTCTCACTCGGGACTAAGCGCGTATGTGACCACGCAGCGGAGATTTTTACGGGATCTCGGGAAACCCTCGACGTCCTCATAGAAGGCAACCTCCTATCTGAGATCTACAACCGTGCTAGCTTTGGATATGGTAACTTTGTGCGCCTACTTGGAAACACGCGGCCGAATTTGCGGATCCTAGAAGTCGGTGCCGGTACAGGTGGAACTACCGAACTTATCCTACGCGATCTCGTCGACGAAGGAGGGTTCCCCTCTTATTCGGTCTACACATTTACAGATGTCTCGTCTGGTTTCTTAGTGAAGGCGCGGGAACGCTTCTCGTACGCACCTAACATGGAGTATAAAGTGTTTGACATCAGCAAGTCGCCGTTCGAGCAGGGTTTCAAGGGCGGAGAAAAGGGATCATACGACTTAATCCTGGCTGCAAATGTTGTTCACGCAACTCCAGTCATTGAAGAGTCACTTAAGAATATAAAGTCGCTACTCAAACCCGACGGGATGCTAGTTCTGACAGAGCTTTTGCCCACATTGCGCACGGCAAATTACGCGTTCGGCCATTTCGCGGGCTGGTGGCTAGGCGAAACTGATGGCAGACCTACAACTCCTCTGATACCCGTTGATCGCTGGAATGACGAACTGAAGGCTGCAGGATTTACAGGCGTGGACTCGGTCGTATTCGACGATGAAGAACCCTATAGCCAAATCCTCACAATCGTATCGCGGCCACAAACTACAGGCGTTTCACCCTCTAAGAAGGTTACTCTGCTATGTGATGACGAGGAATCAGACGTAGCGCGTACTCTTAGGACACATCTAAAGAGTTTAGAATGGGAGGTCACACCGCGCCGACTGGGCTCGAAACCTCTACCAGACGAAGACATTATATCGTGTCTGAACCTTGAGAGCGACTGGTTTGTCAACCTAACCCCAGAAACGTTCGCCAAGTTCCAGGCATATGCAAAAGCTCTGGAGCACCGGAAGATCCTTTGGCTCACGCCTCCAGTCCAGATTCGATGCAAGGACCCCCGGCCGGCAACATTCCTCGGCATGGCCCGTACTCTGCGGGCTGAGCGAGTGCCAGGACTCTGTACCCTTGAGATAGAGCCTAGCGAGCCGCGCTTTGTAGACATAGTTCTAGATGTATTCGATAAGGTCCGCACACAAGAGGATGTTGGTACGCTAGGTCCCGACCGCGAATTCGTCGTCGAGAACTCCCAGATCTGCATTCCTAGATATCGACCTTTCTCCTTGATAAATAAGCTAAAAGAAAAAGAAGAGAGCCGTGGTTGTGAGGAGGGGTCGCAGGCCATACCAATAAGGACGGCTTTGGCAATCTCTAAGATAGGATCTATGGAGACACTGCACTGGATCGACGAGCCACTACCGTTGGAACTGCCAGCCGACTATGTCGAGATCGAGACGCGAGCCGTTGGTCTAAACTTCCGCGATGTTGTCCTGGCGAGAGGTATCATCGATTCCTCCACGCCAGGTCGCCTCCCGCTAGGGTACGAGTTATCAGGCATAATCAGCAAGGTAGGCTCAGCCGTTAAAGGCTTCACACCCGGAGATAGGATCATGGCCCTCTGCAACGGCTGCCTTGGTACCAGGAACGTGGCATCAGCCGACATCGTCATGAAGATACCCGACGACCTTGCTTTCGAAGACGCCGCTTCTATTCCCGTGTGCTTCGGGACAGTAATTTACAGTTTTATCGACGTTGGTCGATTAGAAAAAGGCCAAGGCGTTCTGATTCACTCGGCTTGTGGTGGTGTCGGTCTCTCGGCGATCCAAGTAGCCAAGATGCTCGGGGCTGAGATATACGCGACTGTAGGCAGCGAGAAGAAGGTCCGGTACCTCATGAATAACTTTGGTATTCCACGTTCGCATATCTTCAACTCCCGAGACGTATCGTTTGCGGAGGGTATTATGAAAGAGACAGAGGGTCGAGGCGTTGACTTAGTCCTCAACTCGCTATCGGGCGAGTTACTGCACGAGTCGTGGCGGTGTGTTGCTAAGTTTGGTGTTATGGTCGACCTTAGCTTGCGAGACTCTAAGGGGTCTGGCCGTCTGGATATGCTACCTTTTGCTGAGAACCGTTCTTACCACGGCGTGAACCTATCCGACTTTAGAGAGAAGCCTAAGTGGCTAAGGAGGTGAGTTTTCTAAAGGGGCTGATATTCCTTAATAGCTAGCCACTATGCTCACTCCCTAGATTATAACTGATAGTGTACTAACAAATCATCAGATTGTTAACCGTATTCGTCGACTTCTACAAGCAAGGCCATCTCCGTCCGGTTGATCCCGTGGTAAGCTTCGATGTGAAACAAATCGCGAGGGCATTCCGCCACCTCGAAGATGGCGATCATATAGGCAAGATCGTAGTGACCTTCCCTCCCCCTGACCTGAGTACACCAATCGAGTCACTACCTCAACGTCGTAGTATCGAATTCGATCATATTGCGACTTATCTCCTCGTAGGTGGTGTCGGTGGTCTAGGTAGATCCATCGCAATATGGATGGTAGAACGCGGCGCACGGAATCTCATGTTCCTTTCTCGCAGTGCAGGCCGGAGCGATATTAGCAAGGCTTTGTTCTACGAGATAGAATCTATGGGATGCTCGGTGACAGCAGTTGCCGGACGTGTTGATCAGATCGGCGACGTACAAGAAGCGATCCGCCAAGCAAAGACCCCTATTAAGGGTGTGATACAGTTAGCCATGGTCCTAAGGGTAAGAGTCCCTTTATAACGTCGGGCTAAACATTCGATACTAACCGAAACACACCAGGACGTCTCAGTAGTAGACATGGAATGGTCTCAATGGAAAGATGCCCTTGCACCTAAGGTCGAGGGTACCTGGAATTTGCACCGAGCACTCCAATCGACTAGCCTGGATTTCTTCTTCATGGCCAGCTCAATCATGGCCGTAGTCGACTCTCTCGGACAAGGAAACTATGCGGCAGCTAATACGTTTATGGAAGCTTTCTGTCGTTACCGTCACTCCCTAGGACTGCCAGCTTCAGTTCTTAACATCACCGCTATAGGTGATATTGGGTTCGTAGCTGAGAACTCACACGCGATGCAAAACATCAAGGCTCAAGGCATATGCCTCCTCGGCGAGCGCGAATTCTTAGACTTTCTGGAGCTTAGTCTCATGAATAATTCCCCGGCAGACCAAAAGGCCGCCGGGCCACTCGCCGTTCCACCTACACCATGGAGTAGCGAAGCTCAGATGGTGATGGGCATACGATCGGATCAGGACCTAGACGATCCGAATAACCGAACAATGTGGCGACGTGACAGGCGCATGGGAATCTACCACAATGTACATGTTGAGAACACAGCGAAGAGCACCGAGAACGATGCTCTTCAGAAATTCCTCAGGCAAGTCGCAGCTGCCGGCGTGGGAGCAAAAGCACTATTAAAAGGCAAGAGCAGTATCGAGTTCTTAGGAAATGAGATCGGCAAGAAGATCTACGATTTCCTCCTCCGGCCAGACGAGGAGGTGGACATTAATCTAACGCTGGCACAGATGGGCCTCGACTCGCTAATGGCTATTGAGCTGAGACGGTGGTTTAAGGGCGCATTCGGTCTCACGTTGGGTGTGCTGGAAATAGTCGGCAGTGGAACTCTCCATCAGCTTGCGGAACTTGTCGCGGCCAAATTGCTCGAGAGGCTCGAAAGCGAGTCCCAGAAAACAGGGTAAATATATAATCTAGCCTCTAGGTTTGTTCTTGATTTGGAACCCTCGAGGGGGGGTCGTATTACAAGACCTTGGGTATTAATGTTGGATTGGATAAAGCTTAATGAATTCAAGTATTTTATATCGTATCATCAATGCCTCCTGGGACTGGAATTTGAGTAGTAGGTGTTAGACGAAGGGTATCACAATGATAATAGATAGAGTTGAGTGTGTTTGCTTCACTTTATCAAACAGAACGGCGGGGTATAGAAATCTCCTCGTCATCTCTGTATTGTACTACATCCCACCGCCACAGCCCCTGACCTCATCCACGCCAATCTGCCCAAAGCGCCTCAGCTTCTTGACCAGACCGACCCATCCTTCTCCTTTCCCTCACCTAAAATACAGCAAACAAGTCTTAACAATACTCCATCCAAGCACCAAGCAGACCAGTAGCTATAAAGGCAACAAATACCTTGCTCTGGGGGAAACCCGGACCTCCAAACTCGGGATCAACACCCATGGTACCGGGAGGCAGGATGCTGAGAAGTCCCGCGATCCAATAGATAGACCCCGTGATGGCGCTGATGAAGACAAACTCGCGGCGCAGCTCGGGCGTCTTTGCCCGTCGCCACGTATAGTAGAGCGTCAGCCCGGACAAGATTATGGCGAGGAAGACCGTCTGAGCATTGTGGAATCTAGGTAGGTAGTTGCACAGGTTAGATAAACAACATCTTAGCTATTGTGCTTACATTAGACATACTTAGCATGCGGCCGCCACCGTGGATTAAACATGTGCGTCTCATTGAGGCAATCAGCCATGATAGTGCCAAAGCACATACCGAGAGCATCGACGGTTAGCAGCAGTCGGCCCAACATGTTGATTATTATATGTACTGCAAAGATAAAAAATAATAAGTATATCATCCAGCCCGGTAATAAGATGCAATTATTTTTGCTGATAACTTTATATCAAAAGCGACATGTCGATATGATGACTTATATACATTAGGTACATTAGGAGGTACAACATAACTGTACCTCCTATGCATAATACCTAACCTAGGTACATCACTATATCCATTCCATGCTTACATATAACGTCATTGTCTTATTTATTAATCATCAATCCGACCACCCCCGGGAAACACTATTATAGTACACTAATAGCTGCAAGTTGCACATTCCCTTCAAGATTCGAAAGCCGTCGTAATCGCGAAGTTGTGTATTATATTTGAAAGTGAAAGGGGCTTTCCTACATCCAATGCCTTAACTGAATCACAACTCAAATTCGCTATTCCGATGCACGATCGATATTGTACAAGAGTCGGAGAAACCCCGACGATGCTATTGTTCATAAGTACAAGAAATGCAACGAGCCTTTTTTCGTAGCCTGATAGTAACAGGCCTGCCTAACTGCTCATATGTCCGCTGCTATGTGCATCATCCTGATGAATCCTCATGAATTATAGCCATGCCCAGCAACCAGCCAAAACCTCAAACTAGACCTAAACGCCCTTGAGTCCAATGAGTATAAGATGCGAAGGATATATACTAATGCAGCATCTCATCCTCGTATGCCATCGCTCCTAAACACTATGCCGTGATCTGGTCTAACTTAGAATGACTCTCAATGACCGTTAGGTACATTGTTCTCAGCTTCAGCCGCGATAACCGAGTACTGACCGCCAGCACCAGCCCATACAATTCGTCTATCACGAATGGCAGTGTTGTCGATCACGGTCGGAACTTCAATGTCGTCGGTGGTTCCTTGGCCAGTTTGGTAATTCGCCGAGAAACCCCATGAGTAAACCTTGCCCGCCTCATCTAGAGTAAAGCTGGTATCTGTACCAGCAGCAACAAAGGTAGCCTTGATTCCTATAATGTTTATTAGAACACACCGACTGCTAGACATGAAATATAGGGGGAAACATACCATCAGTGGCGGTCGGCACCAAGAGAATTCGAGGTCTTTTGTTATCATCGAAAACGGTATTCTCCTCGTTGTATAGACTGGACGGCTGCCCGACTTGGTGACCATCCACACGGCCCCAGGTGAGCAGCTTTCCTTCGGTCGTACAGGCAACCGAATGGTGTTCTCCGCCCACGATCTGGCTGACCTTATGGTTCTCAAGTGATGTAACAACTTGAGGCTGGAGAACCATGGCATCGTCTTCGCCGGTATGTTCCTTAAGGCCAGTCTGTGCATAGTTGTTCAGGCCCCAGGCCCACACCTGATCGTCACTGTCGATGTAAAAACTGTGATACGAACCAGCGCCCACGTTGACGGCACGATGTTTCTTAGTAAATCTTCCACATGGCTGCGGAACAAGTCCAACACCCGGGCCTGCGAGACGAGAGATCAGTTTCCTGCCAAGCTGGAATTGGCCTCCGCTGCCCCAGGTGAACACTTTGCCGGACAAGTCCAAAGCCAAGACGTGATTCGAACCACAAGCTAGTCTAGTGATGTTCTTCAATTCAGGGACGAGCGCAGGTGTCTCCTGGATTCGCGCGTGTTCGCTGAATCCGATGATACCATCAGAACCCCTAAAAGTACCCCAGCCGTAGACCCAACCGTCGTCTGTGAGGATGAAAGAGGCAGAGTCGCTAGCCGCAACCTGGGCAATTCTGGTGCCTTCAGGTAAGATACTGAGATCAACTTTTCCAGGAGTGCTTTCTTTAGGGTTAACGCCGGTGTCATCATCATCTTCATCATCTTCATCCTCGTCGTCAACGTCGCGAGTACCGCCTTCCCAGAAAGTATCGCGACCGAGCGCTCTATCATCGTTGACACCCCATGTGAGGATAGTCTGATCATGGGTCAGGGCAATACAGTGCATACCTCCGCAAGCTATAGCGACAACGCCCTTGAGGTTGTGGTTAATTCGAGGTCGCCTTACATCGATAGGTTTTCTTCCATCATATTTCGTACTACCGAGACCAAGTTCGCCCGATGATCCTTCGCCAAAGACAAAAACATCTAACTGTTTAGTAGGCACCTCATTAAAAGGTACACCTCTTGCACCAGGCCCTCTCGTACGCGGGCGCGGTGTGACCTTCTTGGGGGCAGTCTTGGGAGCGCTTCCGGTAGTCACGCTAGTATCGCGAGATTTCGCTGATATAGGTACTGGCTTGGGTTCTTCGGCTTTGAGCTTTCTGATCTTTTTGGGCGCAGCTCGAGTACCACGAGGCTTCTTTTGCTTGGGCGCTTCCTCAGGTTCTTCGTCTTCATCTTCGTCCTCAACTTCTTCTCTCTTGCGCTTGGAAGCACGCGATCCACTCGACTCGGAGATAGATTGGTCGCGCCGACGAGTAGCCTCGCTATCAAGGTTGAGTTGCTTAAGACGAGCCTTTGCAGTCGCGCTGGTCTTTCCAGAACCACTCTGTACTTTCGAGGCAGTTCGTCTTTGAGCCAGAGCCGCAGGGGCTGCAGGGGGTTTAGCAATACGGGTGACGCGACCAGTTGCCCTCTTTGGTCCACGTCGGGTGGGTTCAGTCTGCTTCTTCGTCTTTTCCTTCTCTTCGGCATGATCATCGTCATTCTGCTCTTGTTCTTCATTCACATCCTGCTCTTTCTCCTTATCTTCACTCTGCTCTTGCTCTTGCTCTAGCTCCTCATCTTTTTCGCCATCATCGCTTTTGTTGTGGATACTTTGCTTCACTACACCGCGACCATTTTTGGCCCTAGTAGGAGCTCCCCTAGTCGCAGAAGACCTTTTGCTCAACGGTTTGGTACCGGATGGCGCCGAGGCGAGTCTTCTCGGAGGCATTGTGCGTCGCGTTTGCAAGTCGCGTAAACAGTAGTGCGGAAAATAGGGATAGTACGATAGTAGGGAGAGAATGAATGATTAGCAGTCTGTATGCGCGACTTCTGAGGACACTGTCGTCAAGAGGTGCGCGATGCTAAATAGTGCAAGGTATGATGTTAAGTGTGGATAAAGTATTGAGTAAGGGGTAGAGTGAAGTGTTGGTGAGGCGTGTGAATGGTTTGAGAGCTTGCTGATTATGGTGCGCAAGTAACGCAACTATCGCGTCTTGCTGACAAGTCAGACAAGACGTGGTCGTAGTGAAATTTTGGAAAGTCACAAAACACGAGGACCAGGGCGAGAGTGATAGTCAATGGCCGAAAAATAGGATCTCTTCTTTGTTAGATTGGAGAACAATTGGAAAAGAAGTGCTCGAGGTAAAGAAGGATGAATGCTTTCGGTGATGAATGTTGTGAGATAGAAAGAAAAACGCGCTGGTGGAAATTTTTAGGTGAAAAAGCTGTGCTCAACTGCCCAAGGCCGCATGCAGCAAACTGATGTAACTGTGTATTCACCAAAACAGTGGGAAGTCGCGCGTTGTGGACCCACAATAGCTTTTTAGCGGCTTGGAAGGTGCATACAGCTGGAAGCTCCAAACCCAATCAAATTATGGTTCAGGAAAGTACAGGCAAGTGCAAACAAGTAGCTTCCTCACCGCCCGGGCACCTAGGGTTCTGTGATCCTTGCAGTCTGAAGATTTGTCCGGCAGAAAAATAGCGATAAGGGGAAGGAAGAACAGGGAAATCGCCAATCAATTTCATCATGTACCTACGTACTTGAGAAAATAAGAAAAATAAATAAGAGAAATCAAAAAAGGAGCCAATCATTTTGATCTATGCTAAAATTAGCTAAATATATAATATATGGATATACGTATCTCTCATCCCTAATTCCAGTTCGAACCGACATACATACAAAGGCATTATGCTTCTTTCCTTACAGTTGATCACAGAAACTACGTCCAATCATAACTTCAAGCCTCCGCAACATACATGTATGTAGGTATTCTCCTATATCCACAAATCAAAGTATTTCTATCGTCGATCCCGCATCATAGAGTTGCTTGTAGAAATGGCAAGGTGGATCTCGCAAGCCTGAGATTAAATCACGAAAGATGATCAGGTATATTCCTATTAACTACCAGCGGCCTAACTCCAAAACTCCGGCGACGATATCCTATAGTTAGAATCCTATCGAAGCCATTTACATAGCAGTATATGCCGCCACAACCATTATCATTTGCAATCAGTAGCGCCGCCTTAAAACCCGACCCCCCATGGTATTTTTCAGCCTCGTATGACCAGTTATTTCTTCGTGGTAAAGTCGATTTCGTTCGGGTTTGAATCCGAAGTGGCGCGTTCGCAAGTACAGGAGCTGGCGGGGCGAGCACCACATGCGCAAGTGCTACCAGCAACGGGACCGTTCTCCTTGGACGCATTCTCGCAGGTACATTGACCGGCAGGGCGAGCTCGACACGAGCATCGGGCACCGCTTAGGATATTCTCGAGCGACGCCTTCTCGCATGTGCATGCGAGGGCGGATTTCTGACCGCAGGAACAGGTAGCCTGCTTAGCTGCGAATGAATATGTTAGTTCACTTTCTACCTCGGTTCGTACTCTATGGGGTGACTCTCGAACTTACCACAGACACACTCGCCGCCAGCGTTCTTGCCGCAGCAGGTAGGTGTTGCCTTCAAAACCTCGGTTGCCATTGTGACGGAATAGGATGTGATGTAGATGAGGTAGGTGTTAGACGTATGATTATGAGTATGAAGATGAGTATGAAGATGATTAGGTGTGACTAAGTGCTGAGGAATCTGTGTCTATTATTTGGAAACTATAGCAGATAATAGTTAGGTCTTATATACGTAGTTAGTTGATGTTACAGTATCTTTGTAGCTAAGAACTCAACAATAATTGCTATCAATATAAGACAGCCACTGACATCACTAGGCGAACTTCGTTGGAGGGATAGGTAATCATATCTACTCTGATTGGTCAACATTTCTTTGGAGTAGCATCATCGACCAATGATAGCCTTTGTGATTACTTTCGCCAGGTTCTAGTTCGCCTAGTTGCCCGTACTCAGGGAAGATCTAGACCCTAATGAGGCTGAACTTTCGAAACATCGTCAGTTAGTGATGCTTGGATGGTCTGATTCGACCTAGTCGCACTCTACATTATCAGCTCATGAATTCCACCATCTATTAATATTGGTTGCTTTTTGGGTTTGCTCTGGTTCTGTTTGCTGATGGGGTATATATCTTCCACTTTTCGTCCCGTACTTAGACTTTCACCAATGAATAAATAAAAATACATCTAGTTACGTATTAAATACCTTAGTAAGGTTTTAAATCCCAATCCCCTCATTGTCACGTTATTTTGTATTTTGAAGTGCTAAGGTTACCGTTCTTATTGAGCTCGATGGAGTACTATTCTACTCTACACGTTATAATAACGTGCTTGTGGTTTATCGTCAGGAACTCAGTAGGTAAGACATCGGGTTACATAAAACACCCTAACTTCATTGATTTGTCTTATAAAAAGAATACTTTGGTCAACCTAATCAGGTACCTTTTACTTGAAACCACTGCAAGACAAGTTCGCAGACCGTGCCACTCTCTGCTCTCAAGCCAACTCAAGCAGTAGTGATACTAGCGCGAAGTTACTTCTACATGTACTGATTCATAATATTCCATCCGTCACTTGCTTTATGATTCAATCGTTGTCATGAGGTAGCCCTGTCAAATATGGAAATAATTCGGTAACTCTAGACCCAAGTTACGGAAACCCGTAACTGCCTTGGATATACCGAAACCATCCATTATTCCAGATGTCTCATGTAGAATCCTGGTGCTAGCGGTGATATAACAAGTAATAAGAATATTGAATGTTAACTAAGAAAAAGCATCCACGTCTTAAACCTGACTCATGTAGTACGTCTCTACAGTATCAATTAAAACTAAATGTAAGTGGAAGAACAGATGGTGTAAATCCCTTGTCCACAACTGATTCCATACATTAATCTAGCGTAAGCTCGTGAGTATAATCCTCCGTACACAATAGAACCAGAAGGTTCCCTTGCTCTGGAACATCACATATTATTCATATGTTCCTTAATGTCTAGGTAGACTTGGTCACTTCAGCATAAGTAAAAGTAATAGACCAAGAATAGGTGGCAAGCCGAATAACGAGTATAACTGCTACCATATATAGCAGGTAGTACAAGCTTGTAAGTAAGCCTCGTTGGGATTTGAGTCAACCCGACTCGAAGACATGCTGCGCCTATTGTATTATGTTTCAATTATAATAACTAGGACCAAAGTATCATTAGATCCTCGTACGCGAAGGCTTATTAGGAAACCATTGATGCATATGAATATTCTAGAGACACCTTCTTTCGTGGGTTGTTTACATAGGGATCATGGGGGCGGAAGAAAGGCAGCGACTAATGCTAAGGGAACTCGAATTCCCTAAAAGGGATTCCCGGAAGGAATGGGGGTATTAGTAGGTACCTATGTGAGATTCGGTGCTCATAATCCATAGGTTGAATATATTCATGTTAAGTTACACCATGGTTCTGCTACGAGAAAGCGCTTACGCTGTGTTCGACAGGCGAGGGGTTCTTCCCCTCAAACGAGATACTTCAAGTGACTATAATAAATAATAATTGGTTATCTCGGCTTCGGTTTGCTAGATTAGCACGAGCAATGACTGGTGTTGGTGGGACTTGGGCGCTAATCTCGGATCGCCCCCGACGAATCCCACTTATTAGTAGCTCATTTTCTTCGCTATGTAAAGAGAGGATCTATGTCGTGGGATATGGCGGTTAATTATTACATGGTGGGAATCAATAGTCAAATGATTAAAACCAGAGTTAAACGCTTTGATGATAGATCTGATGATAGATCTGATGATAACTAGCTAGTAAGAGAGTACAGTAATTTGGAGTTCTGTGAGAATGTGCTACCATTACATAGCTGGATACTACAGAAAAACAAGCCAGTAATGTTCTACATATGCAGTGATTCTATAGGTGCCCGAATTTGCTAGAATGAGTCCGTGAGTTCCCCTCATTTTCCTCATGGCCTCAGGATCCGAGAATCCGATTGATGTGGTTGGGGGCTAATAAGAAGGGATTGTAGACGCCACAGGGCTGCAGATCTATCATAACGACATGAGGAAGTTCGCAGATGATCAAAGACATACATTCAGTCAATACCAAAGACATACATGCGAAGGAATGGCGGTGTCGTAGCTTTTCCATACGCCGTTTCTAATAATAAGAATATTCTTAGAATCTAATCGCGGCCATTTTCGGTAGGAGGCAGAGCAGTGCGACCCCTAAAGAAACTAATTAATATAAATGGAACTGACAAAACCATCAAGATGCAGGCTGGGGTTGTGAGCTGTGTAAAAATTCTGCCTTTTTGGCATTTCTGTGCTCACCCAACACCAGCCCAGAGATGGAAAAGAGCGAATAGTCTCGACCAACTCGTATCAGTAGTCTTACCGCATAGTAATACCTTGAATGATCCCTGCAAACCACGCCGACCACGCCGAGCTGCTGTCTAACGATTGGACCATTTGCCACACCAAGACCAAAGAGACATACCATAAGTATGTTGCACACATACGATGCGGGAGGATCATAAGGGCATATCTTTAGGCCCCCATGAAAGGTATGATTGATTAACTTGATAGCTTGATTAGCTTGGTAAACCCAGCCGACTGGTCTTAGATCAGATGTATTGACAACCAAGTGTACCTAAACGTACAGATGGCCGATCTTATCCGGCTCTGGAAACAAATATGTACATTTTGTACATTTGATAGTTCTCAAGGCTCCTCAATTCGACGGGTTGCATTTGGACAAGGCCGTCACGATTGCATATGCAGGTCAGCCAATCCGCCAATGCTACTTGGTGTCTAACCTAGGGGCTATGCAAAGCCGGTTTTCGTATTGGCCTGAACTAGAAAAGTGTGGTGGGTTTGTAGACTCTTTGACATCCCACGATACGCCAACGTCATCGCCCTAAAAAAACTCCTGCTAGGTAAATGTAACTCTAGGTAGGCAATAGAAAGTCGCTAAAAACAACACCATCTTCATCTTCGTATTTCGTATTGTCATATAGCACTGCGTTTCCCGCCGTGCCTTTCTATCCATCGAAATTCCTCTCCCGGGAATGTAATCAAATCTTCAATTCACAATGAATTGGCACAGGGGATCCACGGTGATCGTAGAGCCTACTCCCGCCAGGTCGGAAGGCCCTGGTAAGAAATTGCGGAGGAAGCTCCAGAAGATCGGCGCCCCTCAGCGTTGGTACAAGCCCAACGACCACAACAACGCCAAGAAGCCTGGTGCTATCACCAACGCAGACATCAAGGTGGTTCCAGCAACACCTAGTCGTGATGATGGTAAATGGCTCGAGCAGCTCCGTAAGAGCGGATCTCTCTGTCGTGGTCAACTACCTGTGCAGCCTATCGAGAAGTCGCTACGACACTCTATGCAAGTCATTCCCGAATTTGCACATCTCGCCATTGATGACACGAACTCGGGAAGACATCTTGATAGGAGGGCCTCATGCGCCAACCCTCCTTCAGCCTCGTCGGTAACAAGAAGATATGCGAAGACGCCCGTCCGTCACATAGGGCAATTAGAAGGCCGTTCGAGAAGAGAGCAAACGGCGACTTATAGGGTTTCGGGCGTAGAGGAGATCGCAGAATCCTATAGGGCTTTGCTGGAGTCGAGTTGCTCGATATTGAACGACACGGACCAAGTTGAACCGTTACGCCTGGGAGAGTCTTACCGTGCAAGCTTAGACAATCAAGCCGTACGAGAAGATATCACTCGGGACTTCCCCGATGCACTGCTTGTGAGGACATCTCCTCGCTCCGATGATGGGACGCTGGTGGCTTCCGAGGTGGATTCGGTCTCCTTTAAACCTTCATTTACGCCCGAGCTGCCATCGCCTCGAGAGATTCGTCAACAAGTACCAGCAATCCCGCCGCGAAGACGAGGAACACCTGGGAGCCCCAGCCTGCAGATCTGTGTTGACCTACTTGGCCAAGAGCTTTCCTCAGCTGCCAGAGGGTCGGCATTTCGACCAAATGCAGAAACCTCCTCATTGCAGGTGTGGGTCATGATAGAAGCTTACGAGAGATTACGAGATAAGATTTCGGATATGCGGCTGGACGAAGATCAGCAACGAGCGCTGAATACCATGCTTGATACATGGATCGAAGCGTTATATGCGGTCCACGGTAAGATGGCGGGGGACGACGGAAACGAAAGTGAGAGTGACTACGGCGACTAGATGGACGCCGGGCTTTATTTAAGATTTCGTCGGGGATTATTTCTATTTACATGACTTTGTAATGATGATACAGGCCTGGGTCACGGAGGTCCGAGGACAACGGGTGATGGTAAAACGGTGTATAGGAAGATCTGATTTTAACCAAACAGCGGTTTTACAGGATGGGCTGATGATTTGGTTTTAGGAAATAGGTAGGGGAAGGGGAGAGGGAGAGAATTTGATACCTCTGGGATGACAGAATGGAACGGGCGTGTACAATCATCTTCCGAATGGTTAATGGCATTTTGATTACGAAGATATGAAGATACGAAGAAGCTGAACATCTGCTCTATGGAACCTAGTGCATCTGCTGGGGGTCACTACTGCCACCACTGCCACCACTGCCACTACTTAGGCAGAGCTAGAACCCCACAGTGACGTTTTTACACTACCTTAAGCATCTTATCTTATCTAAATGCACTTTTCGGATTAGACGCGACTCGGCGCGTATATTGAAAGTTTACCGTTATATGTTAGGTGCATTTATTTGAGGTAATCACCGTACATCACTCAATTCTAATCCGTCAACCTTTCTCTGCGAAAGTACCTAGACATGCCCCTCTTATCTGGTAGCCGCCGGCTACAATCCGCCGCCGAGCATAATCGCGGCCGACCGAGCACATCATCCTCTCGTATCCAACGAGACAACGGCCCTGTCGAGCTGCCAGAATATGAACCTCTCGCATGTCCCCTCAGCGCCGAAGCTATACGCGCGTTAACCCAATTGTCGACGAGCAAGGATATGCGAAAGTACGAGGAACAATTGAACAAGAGCATAGAGCTTCTGAGCGCCAGCGTGCAAAATATCAACGACAAATATGAGGAGAGGAAAGAGAGTCTCAAGAACCTCCAGGAAAAGCGAGCCGGCCGCGATGAAAAGAACGATCGGGAGAGGGCCGAGGAGAAAGCCGTGTTGGCGCTGAAGAATGACGTACCCATGTTGACAAACGAATGCAACCTCGCCGTCCAGAGCGTTATCGACTTGAAGATAGAGCTCGAGGACAGTAACCTAGCGCTACGGGGGACGGCGCAGAAGGTTGAGGCTGAAGCTACGAATGCGGCCCGAAGACAAAGACACCAGGACGACGACGACGACGAGATGGCAGATGCTAATATCACGAGCCCGATAATGTTACTACAGCGAGCCAAGGAGAGGGCGGCCGAGGAATACGCCTCGAAGACTCCGTATGAGAGATACGGTACAAACAACGATTACGTTGGCTTCAAACGCTTCTGGCACGACGCCGTGTACGGGAGAGGCAATAAGCCGTTGCCAGATGCATCTAAATGGTTTTCGCACAACGGGGGAGAGGACGAGGCGAGTGAAGACGAGGATCTGATTGTTGCCGAGGAGCACCTTGACATCCACTGCCCCCTGTCCATGGTGGTCATGAAGGATCCGTATACGAGTATAAAGTGCAAGCACACGTTCGAGAAAGACTCGATTATCCAGTTTCTCCAAACCCAACGTGGGCGAGCACGGTGTCCACAGACAGGCTGTAATAAGGTATGTACCTACCTAACATGCTCTCGCGAATACATCCTCAACACCACGAACGGAGCTAACCTATTTATAGGAGGTGTCGGTTTCTGATTTCCATCCCGACCCGGTCATGTTGCGCAGAATCAAGCGACAACTGGCCTCGCAGCGCGCGAGTATGGCTGATGATGACGAGGACGAAGATGAGGATGGTGAGGGTGATGATGGTGAGGGTGAGAGTGAACAGGATGTCGACGTCGAGGGCGATTCGCGTATGAGTGCGACTCCTGGCCGCAACATCAAGTCAGAACGAGAGGGTAGAAGCAGAGGACAGCAATTAATCGATGACCTTATACAGTAGAGGACGAATAGGAGGCATAGGAGACATAGCTCACCTATGTATCCTCCATCTGGTGAGATAATGGAGGACTTATTAAGACGGGATCGTAGTCCTAACGTCTGAGATAGCTTAAGCCAAGACCAGAGCAAATGAAATTCTCATCAACGGTGAATTATATTATGATCTATTCTATGATCTCTTTCTAAACACATGCGACCAGTCCGTCTCTATGTAGACGCCGACTTGTGCTCTGTCTAGTTAGTCTATACATATATGCACAGCCCTGACGACACGCACCACATCTATCCAGCCTACAAAAGCCCTCCATCTCTATACTCTATAGCTTCGCGCCCTCCCTCCTCTTCCGAGCCTTCTCATTATCCTCCTTCAACGGACGCGCCTCGTGGCCAACCTGGCCCGGGCTCTGATCTCCCGGCGCCGTAGCCGCATCGCTCTTCTTCGGCGCGCTCTTGTACCCCTCCTCGGCATTCTCCTCGTTGACAACCTTGCCGTTCGCATCCCGCTCGATGCCCAGCTCGAGCAACTTGGCAAACACGGCAGAGAAGTGCTCGAAGAACAAATCCTTATCCGCCGCGTACTTCTCGACCCACGGGCGAAACGCCGGGTCCGACAACAGCGCTATATCCGTCGGCAGCATCATCAGCCCTTCCGTCTTCTCCGCCGCGCTCTCCCCCTCCCCCTCCCCCTCGTCCTCCTCCACATACACGAACTGCGTAACCCCGCTCGGCAGCGTCGTCTTCTTCCAGTCGTTCGCAAGCAGCAGCTTGTAGTACTGGTTTGAGAAGCGCGTCGGATTGTTCACCCACTTGCCCTCGAACCCCGAGCGATCTCCGTGGCACCGACCGAGGTTATGCGCGCCCGATAGGGCCACGATCTCTTGATTGCTGAAGCCCATCCGGTGGAAGATGAAGCGCAGGTGCTCGGCGCCCTGGGCGCCGTCGGGGAGCCGCCCCCGCGGGGGGATCTTGCTATCGTCGGTGAAGTCGGTGCGGCCGCCTTGCCAGGGGATTTCCGGCCCGCCCATCTCTTTGATCGCGACGATGGCGGCGAGCGTCCAGAGGTCTGCGTATGTGATCCATGGGAACTTAGCCTTCAGGGGCTCGAGGAACGCGCGTGCGTGTTGGAGGCCGGCGTTGGCTGGGTCGCCGCCTTCCTTCTCGTAGCGCATCCCGGCGCCGTTCGATCCTCCCGTGTTAGTCTTCGCGCAGTAAGTTCCTGATGCGTGCCAGGCAAGTCGTACAAGCACGGGGCCCGCGGATCCATCGTCGTAGTCAGGTTGATGCAGGAGCTGGCGCACGGCCGCTTTAACCTCGTCCAGTTGTGCCGTCGTGGGCTGCTGGTTATTGCTATCCTGCGCCATGTCGAGTTCCAGCTGATAGTCTTAAGTGTATCTCTATTATAAGGTAGATAGATATATATAAATCCCTTATGGAATAATTTGTTTTATGGTAGAGCTAGACGTTGGAACCAAGCAGCGTCGATTTGTACGTAGAACTCTTAATGAAAAAACCGGAGAAAAACTAGATGAAGCCATATCTGACTAGCATGAGCATAACAACCTCGAACTCAACAATCCGAAGCTCGGCGAATCATCCCCGAGGAGCCTCGGCAGCGCCACGGCCCCATCGCGTTAGACTTATTTAGTTAAGTGCTGGTGTTATCATTAGTGATCCACTTCTCTCCTCGTGTCATCGATATTAAAAACGTAGATATTGGTTTCTCATAAGTGGTTCCGGTTTATCTGACGCGCTGGTGTTTATTGTAGGTGGACTTTGCTTTATACCCTTGATGCCGTGCTAAGGGGTGACTTGTAGCAAAGAAGACACCAAATAAAACCAGTCAAAAACACATATATACTCCAATAAACTTCTTTGCAGTAAGTCAATTTTGTATATCCCGGGGAACTGAAATAAGTAAAAGTATTCGTATGTTCATAGGAATGCCAGAACATTAGTGTTTGTCCCCCTGTATGTACATACGTAAACGAACCCTTGGCTTCAACTCAGACCAAGGACTAATGTGTTAATGATTGATGTATGAGAACACGCATTGGCGTTCCAAAGGGATATGTCTTTGGAATTATATTCATTAGGTATATGTATTTAGTGACTGTCTTTCTAATACTAGTATGGTCAACGACAGTAGAGATGGGGGTATCACGTAGAGAAAAACTAAGAAAGTAGGGATCATGGAAACGACTAGATGCCAACTACGCATTCCACGTACTTCATATCCGACGGGTTATGCTCCTGATAAATGCCAGTTCGATAAAATTAAAAATGAATAGAAAACGGGGTTAGTCTTAGAAATGCCTAGATACTAAGCAGAGTTCGTCGATCGCCTCCAGATCATGAAGGCAGCCACAGCTGCGCAAGTTGTCGCCCCGAGAGCAAGATATAAACCTGATCGGTCGGGTGGCGGCTCTTCGCTCTTGGGGAATGCTGTGCTCGGGTTTGTGGCAGCCTCCGCCAGGGCGACGAAGAGCTCGCCAATACTATTCCACGTTACGCTCACGTGGACCGGCGTGCTCATCATCAAGTTTGACGTATACTGGTCTGGTTGCAACTCGCTTCGCTGGGTTGTCTTGTCCTTGTCCGCTTTCAAGGCCGTATAGATGGAGGGCAAATCATCGAGTTGTGGGAACCGCTTTCGAAGGTCAACTATATGTGAAAAGGAGTCTGGGTCCGACGAATCGTATGCATAGCAAATTAAGTCGCAAGAATCTAGCCTTGCCTGGTTTTCTAGTATCGCAGGTTCAAGTTCCCCGAGCTCTTCTAGAATAAGGTAGCATTGCTTGCCACCCTGAAGCTCTACACTGTTGACAGCTCTTCTAGGCTTGATGGTTGGATGGTACAAGCTATAGAATGGCCGGTTGAGAAACGCGTCTAAAAGAGACGATTTGCCAGATTTTGCCGCGCCAATGATGTAGCATAGCACGACGTTCCGCTCAACCCGGCCAGGACGTCTTCTCCTCTTACGGGGTTTCGTTACTTTCAAAGCTGACGTAAGAGATTCCCTAGTATTTTGAGGCTCGAAGCCTAGATATGCGAGATATTCTAAAGTGGTCTTAGGTTCAAGGAACGTCGTCATACTCCACTGAGCAAGCCACCCTTGCAGAGTGATATGTCCAGCTTCGTTACGGACGGTCGTAGATGGGAACGAGGATTCTACCCAGGAGTTAGGCAAGCCGGGGGTGGGAGCGAACAGAGCATCGAGTTCTTGATCGTTTAAGCCTCCATCATTGTCTTTATCGAAAAGTAAGAAGAGATCCATGAAGAAGCGATAGCCAGCAGGACTCAGCTCGGCGGAGGCGTATTCTGGGACGTCAAGCTTAGGATGAATGAAGCTATCTTCTAAGCTCAAACTGTCAGTATAATGATATTTCCGTAGAATAACCCATATGGTCTCATGTCGACCTTTCTCGGCATATATCTTGTTGAGTTGCAGGAAGCCCCGCATGTCAACCCCTTTTGAAGTATCCGACCCAGGAACAGTTTTAGCGATGGAAAGCTTGATATTATCAAGGTCTTCGTGAGACAAGGGCTTTTCAAAACATTTTCCTTGGAATTCTTGAATTTCATCATCATTCAAATAGCCGTCCTGATCCTTATCGCAGAGATAGAATATTCTCTTCAGAGCTGACATGCAAGCTGGCTTCAGATTACCCTCCTTGTAGTCGAAGAGCGGGGCGATAGGATGTGTAACGGCTTTCTGGCAGAGGAAGAAGGTTTCGTTGACATTCTGATGCTCCCTGGCGCTTGCTCGTATACAGGAATCGATTTCCCTAAACTCGTTCATGACGGGTAGCATCTCGTCTTCGATAACTTGCGGAGTGGTATTATCGGTGAGGTCGGACTTGTTGGCACATAGGACCACAGGGACGTTTACGCCGAGAGAACGAAAATAAGGCATCCAGAAGAGCGCAACCCGCTCATAGCTGTAATGGTCAGAATAGACCAGGAGAATAACGTTGGACTTTCGGATCTCCTTGCGCAGAGTAGTGCGATCTTGCGGACGCGCTGACGTATCGACGATGGTGGTAGTGACATTTTCAGGAGTACCAATACTCGGCGGGATCGTTATCTGGGGTAAAACAGGTTGTATCTTATTGCTCACGAAAACATCCTTGACAAGAGACGCAATGAGACTCGATTTGCCGGTCCCTTCATCTCCGCAGACGCAAACACGTACTATATAGAAACAATACTGTTAATCATCTACAGTCGTGACGGGTGGAATTGGGATTGGGATTACATACCTATTGCCATACTGGTCAAGATGCAAGGAATCCAGCAAAATGGAGCTCCGTCGTTACGATGCCATTCGTCACAAAGCTACCCGAAATAATCTGCAATGAGGATCTTGAAGGTGGTTTGGATACTGAAGAACGAGAACTGGAGCTTGGTAGAGAAGAGTAGAGAATATCCTAGCTTACTACGCAGCAGTCAAGAGGCGTAGTGTTGGTTTGTTCTCTGTTTCGCGAACAGGAGAGAAGATTGCTAAAGTGGATTGATCGTATTATTTGGACCCTCGAGTGGATGCGAATGCTACGTATTCTGGTTCAACTTTTTGAAATGACGATTATCCGATTGATTAGACAGGGTACGTACCTATATAAAGTTCCATATGTCCCCGTGGACCTTCCGTTGTACATATGTAGGTACATGAATGTAAATGTACAGATCCACGATGTCCATGAGGTTCTTATATGTACCTACCTAATATGTAAATTATAGCCAAGCCCAGTCGGCTCTTATTAAAGATAACCAAGTCCAAATTCATTCATTCTGCCAAAATGTAAAGACAATTTCTTAAGTTGAAAATTGATATGGCGTATCCTAGACGAACATCACCTATATAACTTCTTCTATTACAGGAGGGGATGCAGCCTCGAAAAGAGGTACATATGCCCGTGGACGTCTGCAAGTCCCTCCGCTAAGTCCCGATTCCCGACTCCCGAAGAACGGGTTAAGCATATGTGCACTTGCCATCGACAACCAATTTGAGGCTTCTATTCTGGGCACATACGTTACTTCTTTTATCTTATGTACCTAGGCAGGTACCTACCTCCTACAAAAACACGCGAGCTATGAGGTAATTAGCACCTGCTCGGGGTAGTTCAAGTATTATATACTTCCCCTCATTAAAACCAAAATCCCCCCATGATCCCGAATGCCTTAGGCTTGTTAAGTACTTGGATTACCCCACATCAACTTCCCGAACGACGCAATACCCCTGCTCAACTTGGATAACCTGACCCTGAAGCTTCCCAACATGGGAGTTGTTCCTGTCGATTCGAGAATGCGCAACTTCACATTCACATTCCCCTTCCCATACTATGATATCTCATCGCACTCTTCTCCAACTTGATTATCAGCAGTAAAATCTTGCTTCAATACATCTTCCAGTTTCACATTAGACATGCTCACATAGGCGTTATATATGATTTGGTGTAGCTTACGTCCGTCCTAAGACGACTCAACGATTACTCCAATCCTGCATCTCGCTTTTGAACAATTCAGCAACGGCCTGTCTTATTAGACATTGCAATTCAAATTATACGAAATATATAGTGCTTCAGTACTATTTTCGCGTTATCGAGTAGTCTCCCAATTGGTATTCGGCAAACCCTCATCATGTTGTAAGCCTTCCTCGTCTTGTATAGACTGCGTTATGCTCCTCCGCTACTATCGTACTCAGACAGCTAATGACTTCATATATTCTCTCGAAAATAGTGTGCTACCGCCTCCGCCTAGGTATCCTACGCAGGCAGCGTATAATGCCGCTGTTGCTGCCGGCCATGCTACGCCCATGATCGAGACGAATAACATTTTATCCAACCCCGAAGACCAATTCATAGCTGGAGAGGGTATGCTAGTTCAAGAAAGATAGTGTATGAAGCCAGCGCTGAGGCTATGATATAGGAACATACGTGCTTAAAGAAGATCTTCTCCTTGCGACACCACCACCCCATCCGTCGGAAGCCCCAGTTGTTAACCCCAACCCGTTAGCGACGACACCGCAACCAGCTACAGCTGGGACCAAGATCTCTCTCCTCAGTTTGGAATCTCGCACACCACCTCCGGCTCTATTTAAGCTAACCCCGACAACAACTACACTATCGCCGAGCATCGCCGAACACCCGAGTGAAGGACGCTATTCCAACGACGCGAAGCTGAGTAGTGATGGTGAGGGAAGGGGCACATCTGTGAGTGAGGGAGGACCATCAACATCAGCTACAGCAATTTCGGCACCAGCGTTCGGCGATGGCAATGCTCTACTCGTGCCGGAGAGGACTAAGGACCCCAATAAGCGACGCAAACCCAAGAATAACATGACTAAGAGTAATTCGTCCTTCATCTCGCGGGTCATCATTAACGAGGCTTTCTCGAAAAAGCTGGCTGACCGGCCAAGCGATGGATTGTTTGCTTTTGCCAACATCAACCGAGCTTTTCAGTGGCTCGATCTGTCGTCTCCTACGAAGGCCGATTACCTAACTAAGATCTTATTTACAAAAGCGCATTGCCTAAGTCATGATGTTAACCTGGTTACGAAGAATTCGAGCCACATTGATATCATCATGGGCTTCTCAACAGGCGAGATCATATGGTGGGAGCCTGTATCTCAGCGATATACAAGATTGAATAAGAATGTAAGAGTTTCGATCCCGTCTGCGGAGAGTTTAATTAATGAATTATAGGGTGTTATCAACAAGACACCGGTCTCTCAAATCCGTTGGATCCCCGGAGCAGAAAATTTATTTCTCGCGGCGCATATGGATGGATCCTTAGTCGTCTATGACAAAGAGAAAGAGGATGCAATTTTTAACCCTGATGAGGAGGAGACCAAGTCTAATGGGGAGATCTCGACTCTTAAAGTTGTGAATCATTACAAAGCGA